AGATGCTATAGGGTCTCCTTCTTGAGCAGGGGGTTGGACTAGAAGACCTCCAATGTCCCTTCCAACTCTACTATTCTATGTAATTCTGTGTTAGGTTTAACATTGCCTCCAAAGAATTAAAGACAAATTAAGATTTCTTCACAAAAAGCAAGCTTAAACCATTCCCTAACATGATACAGTCTGTGACATACCACCAACTATCTCAGCATAATAAACAACAAGAGAGACTAAGGTCCATGAAAAGTTGTGCTGTAATAAACATTTCAGTTTAATTCAGTTTAAATCAACCATTCTTTTTCTGCACTTTCTAGAAATACCCAGAACTCATCATTTTGGACCTAAATGGACCAGGAGATGTTGATTTATGGTAGTGGTTTGGACTGGGTCTAGCTTGGGACCCACTTGGCTTGGAACTGCACAGACCAAAAGAAACTACAGCAACTTTTTCATTGTGGCTTTCCGTATTACCACACACTCCGTTTGCTTCTCTCTTTGCTGAAACAGGATGTTTTTTTAACATACCCAAGTTTCTGCTGGTCTGTGCTGTAATTGGATATATTGCAATGCTTATAGATTTCTGTATCTAAAAGTTACCAGCAAGCACAGTGCTTTTAAGCATGTAAAAGGCCTGGGGGAAAACTGTTCCTCTGAACTCTTCCCATCCCATTTTCTTTTTGCTGTAGTGTAAGACAATGTATTTTTTCTCCATTGTTTTTTGTCTGTTTGAAATCAACAACTAACTGTCCTTATATCTTAAGTGAGTTATATCTCAGGTTCTGCTATAAAAAAAAATATTGATCCATTGAAGTATTTGAAATATTAAGTGCTATTTCAGATGTGTTTCTTCCTCCCCATTTTTTTCTCAGTCTTGCTTGGCCCTGTTAGCAATAGATCCTATGTCTTTTCTGAACTGTGAGACTGAAGGACTTTCTCAGAGCTATATCTGGGGAAAACACTATAAAGAAGAATGCAATTTGTAACTTTATCTGTCTTACTATCGTGTTGTTGAAGTATGGATGCTTATTAATTTGAAAAGCTATTCCCAAAACAACCAAGATCTAGGTTTTCCTGAGTAAGGTTCAAATGAAAACTTAACCCAGAGGTTCTCAACCTTTGCAATACAGATATTACTCAAATTATATCCCCAACTGGGGCCAGATTTTAGTTGCTAAGTGATGCAGTAGTTAACACAGTCATCATGTGACTGGACCCAATCTGATGACCATTTTTACTGCAGCTGTTAAACGAAACACATGGTTGCTAAGTGAATCACATAATCTGGCTTTCCCAATTGACTTTGATTATTGGAAGTCTGCTGGGAAGATCACAAATCACAATCACTTGACCCTAAGATGCTGCAACAGTTATAAATGTGAGCCAGTTGGCAAATGTCCAAATTGCAATTATATGAAGGTGGGGGTGGCACAACTATTGTAACTTTGAGGACAGGTTGTAAGTCATTTTTTTCCAAGGCCATCATAACTTCAAAACTACCATTAAATAAACAGTTGTAACTCAAGAACTACCTGGACTGCAATCTCTTAAATAATAAATCATGAAACTAAATAATAAATCATGAAATTAATAATAAATAATATTGTTCAGCTTGGTATTAGATTTATTAGTAACATTTTAATATGCCAACTCCACATAAACGTTCAGCAGTTTTTAAAACATTCCATAGTTCTCATAAAGACAATAAAGCAAACCCACACCTCCCAAATCCCTTCCTCATCTGTTATAAGCTCCACAGAAAAGTTAACTCAACTTTCCTGTGCAAAGATGGCAAGGCAGATGTCATTTGGATCTCCACAGGTAGGCTGTTCCCTTATCCCAAAATATATATTATTTCTCCCCCACCAGACCATCTCATATAAGGGATGCTATCAAGAACCCCATTTGGGACAGTCAAACCGAATGGTTTGATTCCACCTGAAATAAGGGGATTCTACAGATACCAAGCCATAAAGGGGATTATTGCTTAAAACCAGTCCTTTCAATTGTATTCAAAAGTCTTCTGGAAGCTAATACAACATCTACTGTATGCCAGGCTTTGCTCACTGCGTCTTCTGTACACAGAGAGTGGGAGTCAGTTTTGGTGATACGAGTTTTGGATCTGTTTAGCTTTAAACAAACTTGTGACTCTGCCCAACTTTGTCACTCTCAGTTCTTGAGATTATGACCCACAGTTAGAGAATCCCGAATTAATCTAAAAAAGAATAACTCAATCTAAAATACTGAATCCTGAGTACTGATTCACTGAAACTGTATTTTTCAAATTGGCTACTTTTTCTACATATTTTATTCTCCTCTGGGTTCAGAATACCCCATTATCCCTACAAGGAGGTGCTTTTCTCAAAAAGGAGCGAGGGAAGGAAGCGAAATAAATTAATACCTATGCTTCTAAGCCTCGCTGTAAAACCTTCCCTCAAAGAATTAAAATCTGTTATTCATCAAATGCAAAATAATTAATTAAACTGTTTTTGACCTATTACTACAAGCCACCCAGAATCATTTAAATACACAGCATATAAATAATTGAAAATAAATAAACATTTCCTCCTGAAAATTTGTTAAATAACACAAGCTTTTCAAACTAAAAAGCCTTAAAAATTCATGCTAACAAAATAACACAGGATATATAACTAAGTATAAATAAATAGAAATGATACTAGAAAAGTTTACTGTTAGTTGGAAGCACTTAATTAGAAGCAGAGTAAAGAAATATATTTTACATAGGAGTGGTGAGACTTTTTTATCAATTATTTCAGCAATGTATTAAACTTTGTCTCTTTTGATGAAATAATTTTCTTTTAATCCCTTATTCCTTTTGTTTCTTTTTTTCAAAAAATTAAAAGATTTAGAAATTATAATCATTGCGCAAACCTACCCTATTTACTCACAATATTCACTGGAGCTATCTTTAGGAAAGTGAGCATTTTCACCTTCATTAAATTTTGAGATTATTTTAGTCAATTCTATAATTAGCAATATGAATTGGTTCAAACATATTTATTATTTAGCAAACACTTAACATGTAGTTAATGTTAACTTACTTTCTAATCCTCATGGCTTCTTCATTATCATGTCTGAAGAAATCATATGATTTATATGATTTAACTGCTTCACGACGATAAACCCCTAAATTAAACACTTTTAAAAAAACATGAAAATTAATTAGTAATTAAGTTAGTAATGTTCCATAGTAAGCATTATCTCATTGAGCAAATATATTCATTACACAACTTGTTCAATGTACTATATTGTATCAATAAAATACATATATTTTAATAACTACATGCAGTAAGCTAATGTTTGCACTCTAAGTACAATTATTCCCATTTAGATGTGATTAACTTAATTGGAATTTTCGGTAAAAAGTTACAATATTGCTTAACTTGTGCAGGCATAACTTTGTAGAGTATTTCATAGAACATTTAATTTCAATGCATCTCAAATGAACCTAAAAATAAGAATTGCAGCTTTGCCAATAATAATATAGAAGTGCTTAATTTATTCAGTGGAAAGAATATTAATATTGGAATTGGAAACCTGCATTCATGTTCTCAAGAATTCATTGCGGATCTTCAGCTATAAAATACAAATCTTCAGCTTATAACAGTTTATTCAAAGTTACAATGGCACTGAAAAAAGTGACTTATGACTGGTTTTCACACGACTGCTGCAACATCCCCATAGTCATGTGATCAAAATTCAGATGCTTGGTAACTGACTCATATTTATGATGGTTGCAATGTCCCAGAGTCATGTGATCACAAGCAAAGCCAATGGGTACTAGATTCACTTAATAGCCATAACTTAACAACTTCAATGATTCACTTAACAACATAGCAAGAAAGGTAATAAAATGGGGCAAAACTCACTTAACAACTGTCTCACTTAGAAACAAAAATTTTGGGTTCAATTGTGGTTGTAAGCCAAGAACTACCTGTAAAATGAATTCTTGAGGACATCTGAGTTTCAGTTCCCCATTAACAAAATGGACAGAGTGATGACTCAACTCTCACTGTAAAGGGTATGATGCTGGAAAAATTCAGTATTTAAAGTTGTTTGATTTCAAGAGGAGAAAATAAAAATGTTTAGCTTGACTTATAAAATGTGCTATATTTTAAAATATAATTCTGATAAAAAGTGTGCTTTAAATTATAGCTCACTTTATAAGTCAAACTTATCTATCCTATCAATTGGAACCTGCAAGATTCCAATTAAGCAACAAAATATGAAAAGCCTTAGTATGTTCTGCAGCAGTACTCTGCAGTGGATAAAATGTGCATTATTAATCTTAAACTAAAGGCCAATGACTATAAAATGAGAATTTGGTATCTGCTAATTATTTATACCCTCTCTTCCCTTTTTTTAAATCATATTTGGTGAACAAGATTAACATCTCATCTATTAAAATAATTAATGCTGCATTATCTGAACATAATTCATATATTTATCGGAAGCTTATGAAAAAGAAGCAAATCAGTCTTATTATTAATTATATATTCCAGATGAGGAATTGACAAAGACAAATGTTGTCCTCAATAGGATTTTCAAAGACTACCTTAAGGGACACATTGAGAAAAATAATCTGCTGAAATTGCACTTCTGAAGTGATATTAATTAAAACTTCTTGTTTTGTTGCTAAAATAGTGATATTGTTGCCAAAAAAGCAGTTCAGAATCAACAATTTATCCTAGAGAAAGCTCAATGGATAATAGCTTTTAATTACATTCAATCAACCAAGATTGCATTTCTCTAACTTTCAGACCAGTTGCTTTGTTCAGCCTCTTATAGATATACAGCTTATCCAGTTGCACACTAAAGATACAATCAGATTTTTTAATTAATTCAATCAATATATTATAAATAACAAGAGCAACAATAACAATAATCTTCAGGAACCTTTTGTAGGCACTCCAATCCAGTTGAGGTAGCGAGTTAATTTCTTGGATACATAAGTCTTGCCTCTTGCAGGAAGACCAATCATTACAATCAGGGTTGGAGAGTTAGTCATATAAGAGGCCCATGCTATAAAAAAGGGAGATGCAAATCAGTAGTTTCCTAAAGATGAAAAATAAAGAACATTCTTGAAAATTTTCAGATTTGATTTTCTACCCATACTTCAGAATTTTATGTTCCTTACCCAGAATCAATCAATGGATTGTGGCCAGTGGTTGCTAATGAAAAGTGGCTGGCCAAATTAAAATAGCCAATGATGAAGGGCTTCAAATTGGATATAACATTTTTCCTTAAAATATTTTCCAATTAAAGAAATATGTTTTTCAAACATGAGTGAAAAAGGATAACACATCTCCTGAAACTATAAATGTGGAAAATTGAACCAATATTTTATTTCCCTTAGGCTGATGTTAAACTAACTTTTATTACAGGTCCCTTAAAAAAATATAATTTATATTAAGACACTGTTGTATATCACTCAGAGTCATTTTCTGCAAGATGGTGGCCATACAAATGTGATTAATAAATTAATAAAATAAAAGACATGCTATTTGGTTTATAGGGCAGTGTGATAGCTATGGTGGGCTTGCCAACAGTCCAAGTTCGAGACCTGAGCATTGTGCAACCTGGTGAATTCCTGGCTAGATCTTGCCAATCTAGCAGTCTGAAAGCATGCAAATGTAAATAAATAAATAGTTATCATTTTGGGAAGATAAACAGCATGATGTCATGCTGGCCACATGACCATAGAAAATTTTCAGACAGCGCTGGCTCAACAGCCATTGAAAAAGAGATGAATTCCACCCCCTACAGTTGACAATGACTAATGGAGTAAAATCCACAGGGACCTTTTTTTTAAAAAAAATAAAAATGGTTTACACATTCATAAACACATGGAGAGAAATAATGGATGGTGTTGGTAGAAAATTGTTTAAATTTTCTTGATTTCTATTTCTTACCCTTTACTGTGCTTTGCATAATGTTGCTTAATCCAAAATGGAGTAATGTGATGGTATGTATGTCAAAGATACTTGCGACTTTCAATAGAAATTGTACTTTGTTGTGCCCAGTATAGGAGCAATCAAGAGAGCATGATAACAGATATGCAAAAGATATCAAGTATGGATATTCTTCCAAACATTGCAAAAATGGGCCAGACATTCTCTGACATCTTTTTTTTAATCCTTCCACTGCCAAATCCCAATTTTTGCAGCCCAGCAAGCTTGCCAGAGATCTAAACTGATAATTTGCTGAGACTGAGTCAAAAGCTGGATTGCCCATTCTTGCTGAAGTTCATTGGGGTGCTGACATTCAGATATATGGTTAAAGATATATTGACACATAGGTGCTGACATTCAGATATATGGTTAAAGATATATTGACACATAGGTGCTGACATTCAGATATATGGTTAAAGATATATTGTTAAATCAATTTTTGACTAAAATCTGGTTTCTGAAATTGAACTGGTCTCTCAAAATAAGATGTAAGCTTGTTCATTTTATAAATTCATCTCTGAACAGCAATTACTTGCCATAGCAACATTTTTCCCAAGTTTAAAGACATGGGACTGTAACATTAAAAAAATTAGATACGTTAGATTGTGAGCTTCATAAAAGTCAGAATGAAAGTTTCAAGAAAGGAAATCTTGTTGGGAAATTTGTCTTCCTTTCACTCATGTTCAGCAAAGTAATTTCTCTAATCCTGGTGCAAAAAAAATCAGTAGGCTAATAAAATGAACAAAGAACTGTCAGAAACAACAGGTTTATTGAAGGCTTATTTGGAGGATTAGTGAACCAGGTTTAGCTTTAGTGCTACAGTTCTAAAATATTAAAGATAATAGGACACTATCTAGCCACAAGTAACCAACTGAAAAAGAGGAATACAGCTTAGCTGAAATGGATGTTTTGTTGAAAAAGGAATTGTTTCTAATTTCAGCCTTCAAAATACAAAAAAGTAACAATAAAAGCCAAATCTCACAAAAAAGAGGCTATGGATATTCACCAGTTGACATGATATTCCCAGTAATGTGCAGCATAACAGAGATTGTGCAGCAGGGCACAATACAAGCAGTTAGTAATTAAGAATTACATTATATTCTAGAAAAGAACTAAGTCTCTTCCTTTAAAAGACAAAATGAAAGACAAGTTATACATGGTGAATAGATTTGGAAGCTGAAGAATGGGGAAAAGAAAGAAGGAGAAAGGAGAAGAAGGAAAATAGAGGTCCTTATCCTAACCTATTTCACTTGTAATCAGAAAATAGGAGGAAAGCAAAAAGTTGCTTTTTTTGGAGGGGGAGAGTAAGGCATCTATTTTACTGGTGCTAGTGCTGGAAGAATGGAACATATTTTCTACATCTTTTCACTATTGGAAGTGTTGGCAAGGACAGAGGGTCAAACCAGTCCAAGTAAAATAAATCAGGCGGTCATTCTCCGTATTGTTTTGCTTCTCAAATGTCAAATAAGATAGGATTCTTGAAGTAAAATAAGCCAGTGGCATTTAAATTCTTTGAGAAAGAGCATCCAAGATATAATTTAGTTAAACTATTGCTCTCTTAGCAAAAACAAATGAATGCTAAACTAATTCCAACTACTGACATATAAATAAAAATATCTCCAAACACAGAAAAATCTACCAATGAGAGATGTAAGCATTTCATTTAATTGCAAGACAGCTATGCATTTGGTTTACCAGATAATTATCTGAAGATATTCTGTCTGATATTAGCTGGGTTTAATAAACTGTTTAATAAAATCATCATAATTTATCTGCCTCCAACACATTACTTCTTCCTTGGCCTTTTCCAAGAGGATCTACAGCTATTAAGACACATTAAAATCCTGAAAAATCTACATTAAAGAATTTTAAAACTGAGGCTATTCATATTTTTTCATCAAAGTATTATGCATTTGTCACAATTATTAAAAATCACCTGGATATTAAGCTCCACAGCATATTAAAAAGCCTTTGTCAAATATACTAAAGGAGCACAATTCTTCAAAATGGGGAGGAACTACTTTCTCAGACATGCAGCTTCAAAAATGTTTTCCATTTTGTTTCCACTTCGCTATTTCTTCCAAATGGTACTAGTAAATTTACCATTAATCTACTAACATCTTCTTTCATGGCATACTTAAGCAGCCTGTATGTGTGTGCTCCTTTGAGTCAGTTTTTGATGCCTAGTAACTGCCTGTACTAGTCTCTGCAGTTTTCTTGGCAAGTTTTTTCAAAGTGGTTTGCCACTGCTCACTAGGGCTCAGTAAGAATGACTATCTAAAAGTCATCCAGTTGGCTCCATTCTAGACCTAAGGCAGGACTATAACTCTTGGTCTCCTGGTTTTTAGCCTGGTGCCTTAACCACTATACCAAACTACTCTCCACCCAGCAGCTTATGTGAGTCTTATGATATTATTTTCAGATTAACCCCATGATCTTAAATGAATGATTATCTGAAAGTCACTCAATAGGAGCCCCAACCTATATGTGGATTTAAACCAAGATCTCCCAGTCTTAAGACAGCAAAACTTTATTCTACATGAGTCTTTTGTAAAATGGAAAGCATCCAGATCAAAAGTTTTGGGTACTGAACCAGGATTTAAATATGCCAAGTACGTAGTCTCCAGATATCAATAATTTTGTCTCAAAAAAAATCACCCCTCTGCACAAGACTGTGATTAAAATGATCCTAAGTGAATATTTCTTCCAAATAATATCACAAAACCATCACAAATACTCACAACACTTCTTTTCTGAAACTCGTAGATTTGAAGGCTTGTCTTCTTGATTGTAACTGTTACCGTTTATGTTCTCTGGGATGGCAACAGCATCTGCTGACATTGCTGCAAGGCACACAATTCCTCCGTTTTGGATCACCAAATTCCTTCTAAGGACACACAAGGGATTGTAAAGTGTGAATTTTTTTTCTAGAGAGAAAAGAAATAATAGGCATAGTCTATGAGGTTCCTTCTTGCTGGGATTTGCCACCAAGGGCGAAAAAAAACCTACATAAAAGTTCTCAGTCAAGGTCAACACGAGAGAATTTTCTATTAATTATAATTTTCCCACAAGGCAAAATATAATCTTGCATACATATAAATATGAAGATTTTTTTTTAAAAAAAGGAAGAATGTAAGTCCTCAAAGGAAAGGAATAACGATGCCCTACATCTTTGCTTTCAGCCTTATTCCTTTGGGATGGGAGACCCCCTTCAAACTCGGCACGAAGGACCGCGGCAGAGATGCCATACAACTGTACTGAGCGAGATCGCCGCCCACCCTTCGGCTCCGGCCCTTTCTCCCGGTCCCTGCAGGCATACCTGCGAAATTCAGCACGCCCGCATCGGGGACAGCAAGGCCAGATTCCTGAGTGGGCGGGTGGGCGGGCAAGCGGAGCCGACCCAGTCCGCAAGAGATCCTTCCCGGGAGCGCAGCCAAGCCACGGCCAGGTACCCGGGCGCAGGTGACCTTGTCGCCTCCCAGGCGATGGGCGGGCAGAGGATGGCAATTCTTCGGAGAAGCGGCTATGCTAAACGGCGTGAAGGCCAAGCAGAACAATGCTGGATACGCCAAGACAAGTGACGCAAAGGAACTCAGAAAAGAGGGAAAGAATTCTAGGTCAATGGGAACCGGCTTCATACCTGTATTCGAGGCTGCATGAAGGCTGATGACAAATGTATTACCAAAGAAAACGCTATACGGGAGAAGCCAATTCCCCTACCCCCCGCACAGGCTTTAAGAACACAGGTATGTATGTGTGTTATACGTATGCATGTGTGTATGTGTGTGTGTGTGTGTGTGTGTGTGTGTGTGTGTGTGTGTCATGTATTGGCGTTAATTCACTATGCGACACTGACGTCCTTCGGTAATATTCGCTTTTGAACTCTAAAAGCAATCCGTGGAGACAGTAGGCAGATGTGGACAGGTGTTCACATTCACCAATTCGTGTGTTTGAATACTTAGAACCAAGTCAAAGCGAAATCATTCCGTTGTCCTTGGAAATGAGGCTACCAGAAAAACCCCAAATCGGCCGATTAGGCTGGGAAGTTAAGAAAACACTCCGGAAGAAGCCAATTGCGAATTACTTCCGTACTATTACCAAGACAAACGTACTGACACGTCCATACAGCCGCCAGTAGAGTCATTGAAAGGAGCTTTAACTTTACGCATGCGCAAAGAGACGCCTCAGCAGTAGCTGCAGTTACCAAAAAGTAAAGCTTCAAGAAAGTGGGCGGGCAAAAACAACCAGGATTGAGTCACGCCTCTCAGCACCAACGTCAGTTTTCTGCGCAAGCGTACTGACAAAGGGGGTTAATGCGGCCGGAACGGATGTTTATCCTGAGCTTGCGGTGAGAGTCCTTCCGCGATTCTGATTGGCCTTTCTGGCAATTGTGCATGCCAGGAAGATGTAGAAGCGACCAATAGGAAGTCCAAAGGGAAGGGCTACGGGGGTTGCCTGGCTGCCGGTAGCTGCAGCCATTTTTGCTGCGGGGAGTGGGGGGGGGGGAAGGCTCTTACATATGAAGCCCAGCAGCCGTCGGCAGGAGTACTACAGATCAGGCGGCGATCATGTTGCGGCTGCGTTGTAAAGCGCGGAGTGGGTCCTTTCCGCTTCCCGGCCTCACGGCACATTCCCGTCTACACGAACTCCAGGCCGTGATTGCTGCCTTCACCGGTGTCCCCATCCAGGCCCAGCGCCTCCTGCTCGGCTTTCCCCCCTCGTGCCTCGACCTCAGTGATGGAGAGCAACGCCTCGGAGAGCTGGGCATTCATTCGGGTAAGCGGAGGGGCTTGCCCGGGCCTTTGGGCCGTTTCCTGTGAAAGTTGGGTCTCCCCTCCCATCTAGGGTGCCTCTCGGCAGTTAGTGGGGAGATCTGGAAGGGCTGCCAGTCCTGCTCGGCGTGTGGCGCTGCTGTTGTGGAGTCGAAACAGGACCCGCTCGCCACTTAAAAGATAGTCATGGGATGAAGTCTTTTCAATCCAGGTTATTTCATTCAGTGTTTTCTGAATGAAGGACATAGGATTGAATGGTAATCTTATGATAAAAAAGGAGGGAAAATGTTGAATACTCAGAGGTGAGAAACTACTTTTAGTTTGTAGAAATCTGGTTTCGTTGTTTTTGCTAGGCTGCAGTTAATATGTATAGAATGTAGATCATTGCTGATAAAATTTGAAACTGAATATCCTTTCTCCTTGAAAAATAGACTTGCTTGGCAGTCATCCTCTTTTTTACAAATATATTTAAAGGTCTGCTCCTCAAGAAGAAAGCTATTTTTTAAGATTGCATATTTTCTCTTTGGCAGAACAGGAAATTGCAAAACCATGACACAAATGTTTTGACATCTTACACTTGTCTACATTTGGCAGCACCCATCAATTATATTTCAAAATGTTGATCTTGTGTGAAGCATAGCTTCACTGCCTTTGGGAAACAAGAGAATTGATATAACTTGTAGTCTCCTGCATCTTTCTAATCTAATGAATGTGAAATTTTTAATATAGAAAATGTCCAGGTATTTTTTCCTGGTAAAATGGGCTAGGTAGAATTTGGTAAAAGAAATTTGTTGTGTTATAAAATTCTGTAAGATGTATTCATTATTCACAATACATCTATTTCTACAGAAGGAATATATAAGAATTTACTCATTAGATTTTTTTTCTTCCTTCTGGAAGCCTTATAAAGACATTTCTATTGTTTGCCTCCAATATCTCTAATGTTAATGATTGCACCTGAATTATGTCTGGTTCTAGGTATGAGGATTCCTATGGACTGGTCAACCTCTAAGATCTCTTCCAACCCTATGATTCTATGATAGTTATACATGAATGTCATAGTATTTTCTTTGAGGAGTGAAAAACGTCATATCATTATAGTAATCACTGCAGCAAAGGGAATATTATAGCCATATGACATATTGAAGAAGAGAGGTACCTGAAAGAATCATGATAGGACCATGACATGTTTCTTATTACTGTGCTAAATATTCATGTTATTGTTTTGTTCTATTTTTTTCTTGACAGGTGATACTCTAATAGTTGAAGAAGATGCAACCAAGCCCAAGAGTGATTCATCTATAGTTACAAAGCGGACTGTTTCTAATTCAGTTAGAGAAGCTGTACCTGTGCTTGCCCGAAAGGTTGTTCCAGCTGACAACTCGTGTCTTTTTACCAGCATATATTATGTAGTAGAAGGTGGGGTTTATGAACCAGGCTGTGCCCCAGAAATGAGAAATCTCATTGCCCAAATTGTAGCAAGTGACTTGGAATCCTATAGTGAGGCAGTCCTAGGAAAAAATAATCAGGAATACTGTGACTGGATCAAAAGAGAAGATACATGGGGAGGAGCAATTGAGGTTTCTATTTTGTCTAAATTCTACCAGTGTGAAATTTGTGTAGTTGATACCCAGACAGTCAGAATTGATCGTTTTGGGGAAGATGCTGGCTATGCTAAACGGGTGCTTTTAATTTATGATGGTATTCACTATGATCCACTTGAGCGTAAAATCCCCAACACAGACATTCCTCCCCAGACAATTTTTTCCGCAACCGACGATGTTGTCCTTGCACAGGCTTTGGAATTAGCAGACGAAGCCAGAAGAAAAAGACAGTTTACTGATGTAAATCGGTTTACATTGAGATGTATGGTTTGCCAGAAAGGATTAACAGGGCAAATGGAAGCCAGAGAACATGCCAAGGAGACGGGACACACCAATTTTGGAGAAGTGTGAATTTTCTATGAGGTTGGTCATGTTTACTACCTCACTGATCCAGAATGAGCCATCAGGTTTTTAAATAAGCTATATGTAATGTTACAGATTCACTCAGAAAGCCCTAAATTTAATTATGGCTGATATGCACAGGGTTGCAGTTGATAGTGTAAAATGTTTACAAGAGTGCATACAGTGGTGTCATATTTTCCAAGGATCTTGGAGTATTCTTTTGCACAACTAAGAACTAGAGATAGCAACTGATACTAACAGGTGTATCAACTCTTGAAAAAAAATCTGAGCATCTGCTGAAGAAATTCCTCTAACACAGCTGAATATATGCATTGCTGTAGCTAGCTAGGCCTGCATCAAGGACTTTAGATCACTGATGAAATAAAAATCTCAGCTCCTTACTGGATTTTTGATTGTGGAATCTATGAAATAGTTAAGCTGGTTTCATTCATATCTGGTAAAAATACCTGCATCTCAGTTTTGTTCATGTGAAATGTGTATGTTTTTGTAACTTAAAGCAGTAATTCCAAAGCTATTTTATTTGAAATTGCTGATTTAGAAAACTATGCGTGTAAAAATAAGGAATGCGAGTTATATCTTCAGCAGTCTTAGAAAGTGAAGCTACTAATAAGTTTGGATAATTCCATAGTGCCTAATGTATCAGTATACATTAATTATATTTTTAAAAGGTATAATCTGTTGGGGTGTTAATATGAATAAATAGGGCCTTTAAAACTAACAAACTCAGCAATATGAATCAGATAAATAATATACTGCAGTTATAATATTTCAGGGGGAGGCTGTTTCATGACATCAGATTGTTTAATTTAATGTTAAATCTTAGGGGCAGAGTGGTAAGTTTCCAAATTATCCTTTTGTAAGTATGACACTGTCCCTGATAATTGTCAAATTATTCCCCTTAAAAGCAGTATATTTATCATAGAACATGGGTATCAAACTCTCCGCCTCATATAACATGTTGCAATGTATCACAACTTTTTTTGCATTGCCGGAGCTGGGGTGGACGCGGCCTCAGCATGATGCAACTGGCCCACCGGCCGGCAGTTTGACACCCCTGTCATAGAAGAAAACATGAAGTGTTAAAGTTTTGGACCTAATTTGTGAGCTGATAGTCAATGTGAAAATGCACTTTTTAATCAGTTCAGAGATCTGAAGTGAATCGAGTGATTTACATATTCTTTCTTGTAACTGACAAAATCTGGCATGCTATACTTAAGGTGTTTTAGATTTTTTCCAGTGACTTGTAAACTAACAGTACAATTTTTTTGTATTTGAATCAGATACTTTGAGTTAGTATATACTGAAGTGAAAATTCTCAATCTGGAAACATCAAAGAGATCTGCAATCACTCATTTCCCCATATATGATGGGTTAAATAATGTTAACTAAAGATAATTGTAGGTCTTAAATGGAAAACAATAATTACTAAATTATATGTTGATTTTAAGTTAATAAGACATGAAAGGTGATATCCTATGCACATCTGCTCAGAAGTAAACCCAAAGTAGTGGACTCCCAGGAAAGTCAGTTACAACTACACTAGCTAGTTTAGAGATATTAAGGATAACTCAGTTAATACTAATAAAGTGGTACTTTTGCCAAAAGCCTTAAAAAAAACAACTGCAATTGTACTTGCTACAGTATAGGAAAATGTTACCAAACTCACTACTGCATGCTTTTATTGGCCAAAAAGACTATTAGACAAGAATATTTATTTAAAGTTCCTCTTTAAATAACAGAATCAAAACTATAGGAAATAAAATTATTTTACAATTAATATTGGTACTGATCTCTTTAAAGTCTAAAATCAGGTTAGTTGACCTTAAAATCCTGTACATATATACTTAGACATAAATAAACACTGGAGATTGTTTCTATCAGAGACATGTACACACACACAAATACATACAACCCTATTCAAGAATTTTTTTACAGCACGATTGCCAAATATGGTTTGAAAAATAGAGTATACAAAACATGGAAGTGTAATATATTAAGCATTTAATCTGTAACCATATATCTACATTTACTTGGAAAAACATTAAAATTAGACATTTAGATAACTGAAGAAAAGATGTATTACGACACTTGAATATATTAATATAATAAGGCCTTTAAACCTTGTGGTTTGGGAGGAGGAATCATATTTGTTCACAGATGGAGATTGCAGTTAAACCTAGAGACTGTATTAATCTCATCTTGTTTCCTTTAGAATTGATTAAATGCACCTATCAAAGGTGATGAGAAACTGACCTGTTTATATTCCATTTAAGTAAAGGTGCTAAGTGAAAGTTATTTTGTATATTGTTTTCTATTAAATATTTTTAATTTTAGAATATGTACTTTTGCATTTTTGCTTTAAGGTTTGCCTGGAGGCATGGGTTTAAATCACACTAGTTCATTGCAGATTATTTTACTAAGTAAAATTTAAATATTTTACCATCAGTATTATAATTTTTAATATAATTTTAAAAAATATAGCACAAGTTTTTATTGAACTATTATCATAATTATGTTTCTCTACAGATGTACACATATGCATATAAAGATCATTAGTTACACAAATGCATTCGAGAATTAAATTTTTATATAAAATAAATCCTTGCGGGATTTAGAAAAAAAACAAATGTAATCTGACATGTTTCATCTAAATGGTGGTTACCTGAAAGCTTGTAAATTTGGACAGTATAGATTATTATTTCCTTTTGTTTAAGTAAGTATGAAGATGGTATCATATTTTGGTACCAGATTTGGATTACTTTTTATCCTTGATAGTTTTCTGGTAATGGGTTGTAATACTTAAACATTATGATTTTCTCTTCTGTTTTAAAGTAGCTATAAAATTACATTGGATGATTGCTAATAGAAACATCTTATAATTCAAACAATCTCTCATCTCACTTAGCTTTTTTCTAGTGCTCCATATCTAAGTCAACTGGGAAATGAAATTTCCTGTTACATCATTTATTTTGTAAAGGAATCTATGTCTACATTATCTTTCAAAACTATTATTTGCACCTTTCTTCTTATGGATATAGAAGTCAATTTAAATGAACTTCAATTTGGGAGTAGAAGAATGTAATATTCATAGAATAGAATAGAACAGAACAGAATAGAATAGAATAGAAACAGAAATAGGAGAACCTATATTGTCTCAGATAGGGGGATGTCAAGTCTCCTCTTAAAAATCTCCAGCGATGGAACGCCCACGATTTCTGGGGGTAAGCTGTTCCACTGGTTGATTGTCCTCATTGTCAGGAAATTTCTCCTTAGTTCCAGGTTGTTTCTCTGGTCAGTTTCCAACCGTTGTTTCTCGTCCTTGCATCTTTGGTGAACAATCTGGCCCCGTCTGCCTTGTGGCAGCCCCTCGGATACTGGAACACTGCTATCATGTCTCCCCTATTTCTTCTTTTCCTTAGACTAGCCCACGGGTAGGCAACCTTGGCTCTTTTATGTCTTGTGGACTTCAACTCCCAGAATTTCTCAGCCAGCAAGTCTAGAAGTCATAAAAGAGCCAAGGTTGCCTACCCCTGGACTAGCCAGACCCAAATCCCGTAGCCGTTCTTCATATGTTTTAGTCTCCAAGCCCCTGATCATCTTAGTTGCTTTTCTTTGAATTTTTTCCAAATTCTCAACATCTTTTTTGTGGTATGGTGACCAAAATTGGCTGCAGTATTCTAGATGTGGTCTTATAAAGCAGTAATAGTACTTCTCGTGTTCTTGATTCAATGCCTCTGTTTATATAACCCAGGATTTTGTTAGGTTTTTTGGTTGCTGCTGCACGTTGCTGGCTCATAGTCAAGTGATCGTCCACTAGAATTCCAAGGTCCCTCTCTCAGTCACTGTTTTTGAGCCAGGTCTCACCCAATCTGTATTTGTGCCTTTGGTTTTTCCTGCCTAAATGTAAGACTTGGTTTTCTCCACATTGAAACTCATTTTGTTGGATAGGGCCATTGTTCAAGTTCATTTTTTGTTCTGGTGTCAACACACACACACACACACACACACATACTCACACACACGATACAGTTTAATATCCTTAAAAGTATCACTAACTTTAAAATTCTCAGAAATTGAGAATAGAGTGCAGTTTGAAGACACTTAAATGATAACTACTATACAGTAGTTCTATAGTATTAGTTGATTGGATTAAATATTGAAGATGTGTTCCAAAATTTGCATATCTGGTAATAGCCCCAGCATTAACATTCAGAAATGTGAAAATGTATGTTTTACTAGACGGCCTTTTGTACAGTTTTAGATGAGATCAGTATATCAAATACAGCACTCTACAAGCTTGTCAATCATGATTTATCAGTTTAGTGGGCTTTGCGAAGAAATTAAATAGGTGCATTATGATTTTTTTTTGTAAGCTGGCATACATTTTAAAAACATCTAATTTAATATTTTTCAGTGGTACCACATATTGCAACAGTATTTCATGGAAATACGTACAGTATATGTTCTGTTTAACATACTCTTGAGTTTAATTATAGCAACACTAACATGTAACATTATGCATGCATGTCCCACTTTGTATTCACTTGTATTTCTGCTTTCTATCTTTAATAAAAATTGATGCTGATACATATACATAGATTACAGGAGCTATTGCAAAATGTATTGCAAATTATTCTTATTACCAAAAAATTCCAGGGTGTTTTTTTTATGGAACTGGACTGTTTTTGAATTGTCTATGAATATAAATCAGTTTGAACACTATGAAACTGCTTTATATTAACACTGCTATTCTAAACAAGTGCTCTGTTCGTTCTTCCCATTGAGTATCTCCAGTGAAAGGATCAAGTCTGCCTCTTCTGCATTTAGCCCCTCTATGAGGGAGACGGACGGTTAAGAAAGTAGATAGATAGATAGATAGATAGATAGATAGATAGATAGATAGATAGATAGATAGATAGATAGATAGATAGATAGATAGATAGATAGATAGCATATAATCAAAAATCATCTGGTTTCTAAGGAAAAGGGCATCAACCATATTAATATAATATGTCATACTTGCATGATATGCAGGAATAGATAATCACTGCAACATTTGGAAAAGTGATTTTGAAAAATAACTAAAGATTAGATTGAGAATTAGCTACTTTAAGTATATATTCATTAAAATGTTAGTGTTACTCATATTCTTAACTAAGGTCTTATTTATTTCAGTGGGACAACCCTTGAGTTCATTTTTGTTCCAATTAAGTATATGGGAACTCTTGGTCTGAAAATGTGGAAAACAAGTAGCATTAGTATCTAATATAAATGGCTCCTTCTCTCAAGATAAATCTTCCTATGATGGGACACTTGAATAGCAATAGAACATATATACTGCTTCATAGTGCTTTACAGCCCTCTCTAAGCAGTTTACATAGTCAGCATATTGTCCCCAACAATTTGGGTCCTCATTTTACTGACCTTGGAAGGATGGAAGGCTGAGTCAAAACTGAGCCAGTCAGGACTACTCTTACTCGGTAGAATTAGCTGCAATATTGCATTTTAACCACTGCACCATCACAAGACTTTTATATAAAATATGGTATGAACTTATTACTTAAGTATCTCTATTTCCAACTTATTGAGATAACCAGCACATATATTTTTCAATTGTTGACATCCAGTCAGTTGTACTTAACTAGAATTCAGTTACATTATATACATTTCAACTGTATATAATTTAACTGGTAAAAATGATATTTTCCACGTAACTTAATCTTACAGCTAAAAGGAACCTAAATCCAGATCTTCTGCATCTTAAAGGTAGTTGCTCTTTTAAGAGTTTAGATATAATAAATAGTGGAACATTTTAAAAAAAATCAAGTGAGCACTTATGGGATGTTCTTACATATCATCATTTTGAGGAACTGAGCGGTAGAAAAATATACATCTTTGTTTAAAAGGCAACATTTTTGCATCAATTTGACCTGCAAATCAGATTCATTATCACTGCTGAACAAATTCAAACCATGTAGTCTTTGTATGCCTTTCATTTTTCTTATGTTTAGGATATCTATATATGTATGGGACAAGTAATAAGTATCAAAAGATTGTGAGATTAAATTCCCTTTTATGTTACGGCAAATCAAAGCTTTCCAACCAACATATAGTACCTATTGATAACAGGAATTTTTGACAAAGAAAAAAAACCTTGTTCCAGTATGGTGTTTATCTTAAGCAGGCGAGGATACTTGGAATTACTTAACAACTATTGTTGCATTTCACAAAGTTAGTTCTTTCATTATGATTTAGATATAATTTTTACCTGTTCATTATCACTACTTGTTAAATCAAGTCACTGTACAAGAAATCAACAAGTTCAGTAATAATTGGAACTCTGGGTTTTTTAAGCTCTTGCCCTGCTTTCTATATCTTGATATAAATGTATAGCCAGTAGTACATAACATTATTAATATTCTGTCTTTATATAACATTTATCTCTGCAGAAAATGTCTCATAAAGAGTCCTACATGTAATGCAACTTTCATTTAGCTTAAATTAGAAACATTATCCATATTACCTCCAAGTCTGCAAAGATGACAGGCTACAACAGACATGTCAAACACAAGGCCCGTAGACTGAATCTGGCCTACAATGGGCCCAGATCCGGCCCATGGGGCCACCCAGAGATACCAAGAGACCAGTTCCTGCTGCCCCAGCCCCGTCCTAGCCCTGCTAGCCACCCCAGGGTGTGCGCACAGGAGGCAGCATGCAGGGGTCGGTGGTGCCCAGCAGCAGCTGCAGCCTGCTGACCCCTTGGCCACCCATCAGCCAGTGTACCCTAGGATGCCGTAGTCCACGCAGCCCAGGTGGATCCAAGTGCTGCAACCTCTGAGCTGGCCCTCCAAACGGGAAGGAGGTATGCAAAGATAGTGGGGCTGTGGTGAGGCAGCCCAGCTGGCTGCTGTCATCACCATGCTGTGACCCCTGTCCACTCAGCCCCCGCCATCCAACTTCGTCCTCCAGCTCCACCACACACACATGACAAGCTTCTCACCAGCCGCCACACCCCTGACAGCTCCAGTAAACGGGAAGGGTAGGGAACCCTCTATCCCCAAGAGGCAGATGGGACTCCCCTCCCTGTTCTGCCCAAGCCCAGCCCCAGAGCTGCCCACATGTGGCTGGATGCCCCCCAGGAAGTGGTGCCAGGCCAGGTTGTGGGGTCCCAGTGCCCTGGGAGCTTGAGAGCTGGACTGAGTACTCCCCAGGGACTCGGGCAGCCTATGCTGCCCTCTGGGGACCCCAAACACAGTCCAAGGGGGATGGTGAGGCTCCAATGCACCATGTCCCAG